TGCTCCATAAATCTAGTAGTACTACGGACCCAAAAAATTATAGACCAACCACCTGTCTGCCAACAATTTATAAAATTCTTACATCAATTTTGAGATCTAAGATTTGTAAACATATTGATCAAAATTCTATCATGTTCGCCTCTCAAAATGGATGTAGGAATGGGGCCCGTGGTACTAAGGATCTACTCCTCATTGACATGGCTATTAATCAAAATCCGCCGTAACCGAAAGACTCTGTCGACTTCCTGGATAGATAACAAGAAAGCGTATGATTCCGTACCGCATTCATGGCTCATGAGGGTGCTGGAGCTGTATAAAATAAATGCAACTCTACGCGCTTTCTTGATGTCATGTATGCGACAGTGGAGAACGGTCCTATTCTATCCAGAATCTCGACGGACTCTGGGTAACGGCGATCCTATAAAAATAGAGCGAGGCATCTTCCAGGGCGACGGTCTGAGTCCATTATGGTTTTGCCTAGCCTTGAACCCTATGAGTACACTACTCGAGGGTTCAGGTTTAGGCTATCGTTTACGCAGAAATGGTCAAGTAATATCACACCTGCTTTACATGGATGACCTGAAACTTTTTGCCCACAGCAGTTCTCATTTGACAGCCTTACTGAAGGTTACTGAAGTATCAGTACACAGTATACAGTAGTGCTATCAGAATGGAATTTGGTGTGGACAAATGTGCAATCATGCATGTAAAGCGTGGTCAGGTAGTGGAATCCGCGGGTATACAACTTTCGGATTCAGTTCACCTTAGATCTCTCTCCGTAAACGAAACCTATAAATATTTAGGTATGTCACAGACATTAGGCATCAACGATGCTGACATGAAACAGTCATTACGTGAGCGTTTCTTGGGGCGCCTGTCAAAAGTTCTTAAAAGTCTTTTGTCGGGCGGAAACAAGGTTCGTGCATATAATGGCTGGGTAATGCAGCTATTGATGTATTCCTTTGGCGTACTTAAATGGACTCAAACTGAACTTGATGCCTTGGACAGAACAGTTCGTACATTGTCAACAGCACACCGTATGCATCACCCACGCTCCTCGACTATGAGATTGTATATCCCGCGGAAGTGTGGTGGTCGGGGCTTTCTAAATGCCAGGACATTACATAACCGCGAGATAAACAATCTAAGGGAGTATTTTCTTAACGTCGATATGGGGATTCATAGAGATGTAGTTGCTGTTGACAATAGACTCACTCCTCTATTTTTAGCAAAAGAAAACTGGCGCAGGCCTGTAGTACTTAGTACATTGGATCGCAGCATTGTATGGCAAAGCAAGGAGTTGCATGGCAGATTCTACCGGGCTCTCCATGGGCCTGACGTAGATTTATCAGCATCAGTATCCTGGCTACGTTTCGGTGACCTTTTTGGAGAAACCGAAGGTTTTATCTGTGCAAGTATGGATGAGGTTGTGATGACGAAGAACTACCGGAGGTTTATACTGAAGGATGGCACATTGGATGTTTGCCGTGCGTACCATCGCCCAGGTGAATCCCTTAGGCATATAATCTCCGGTTGTTCTCTTATCGCAAATGGCGAATATTTGCACAGACATAACCAAGTGGCCAGGATAATACACCAACAACTTGCTTTGAAATACAATCTTTTAGCATCCGAGGTTCCTTACTACAGGTATGCTCCAGAACAGGTTCTTGAAAATAGCCATGCCACATTATATTGGGATCGATCTATCATTACAGACAGGACTATTGTGGCTAATAAGCCCGATATTGTATTGATAGATCGACACGAACGCCGTGCAGTAGTTGTTGATGTCGCTGTCCCCCATGACGACAACCTTGTAAAAGCTGAAAAAGATAAAGAAAACAAATATCTTGATTTAGCTCGCGAGATTGTCGACATGTGGGACATCGATTCAGCAATTGTTGTGCCGATAATCAAATCTGCCCATGGTTTGATAGCCAAGAGCCTCGATAAACACCTTAAGAGGCTCGTGTTAGGTGGTTGGGTCAAGAGTCAGATGCAGAAGGCAGTTCTTCTGGACACGGCCCGTATAGTGAGGAGGTTCCTGTCTATGGATCCTTAACCACCGGTAGCAGGGACCCTGATCTTGCTGCCGATGGGGAACTGCATTTTTGTATTTTTAAATGTTATTTTTTTTAATGTTATACATTGTAAAAATTTAATATTTAGAAATATAATTTTGTATGTATTTTTAATGAAGTAAAGGAAATAATAATAATAATATACTTTTATTTCAGACACAAGATCCATTCCTACAATTTACAAATTATTTCATCAATTTCAATTTATAATTATGTGACTCATACGATGACACAAAGCGCAGCGCTGCACGTATTTTTCCTCGTGTCCGGAATGCTAGCGTACCCACGTTCAATATACGGTTTTTCGTTATGCCATTAAATACTGCGTAAATAGTGCCAAATTAGTGTAAAAATAAAAAAAATAGTGCCTCTTTAATTTAAAAAATACAGACCATTTTTACTGTGTACGCTACCATGACGTCAAGCTAGCGTACCCATGGCCGACCCCAAGAACGGCATATATTTAAGCAACGAAATTGACACACAAAAATAGTTCGCAAATAGTGCCCTGGCTTTACAAAATTTCATAATCAATACTCTTAAAGGACCAAAGATATTGAACTAAACATTCTTAGCTGGCGTCAACCTGGCGTACCCATAATAGTTCTGAAAATGAACTTTTCTCGTTATCAATTCTATATGTATAAATAGTGTGTCAAATAGTGCCTCTAACAGTAAAAGTATATTATGTTAATTCGCAGTAAAACAATATAAAAAAAGCAATTAAATTATTTTTATATATGAAGTACAGTCATGTACAGAAGTGATAATATTTTCGTAGTATAGTAGGTAAGTAAGGTACTTAGTAGGTAGGTTGAAATTCTTATATGAATTTATGATTGGTGAATTCGAATTGAAATAAAATATCTTTTTATAAAAAGTACCTATTTATTTTAGTAAAAATACATATATACATAATCTCTTAGTGCATAAATTAATTTTGTGTGTAACTGTACTACAATACAATCCTCTTTATGTATTGTTGTGATGCGGATTCACATAAAATACTTTTACTGTTAGAGGCACTATTTTACACACTATTTATACATATAGAATTGATAACGAGAAAAGTTCATTTTCTATGAAAACTATTATGGGTACGCCAGGTTGACGCCAGCTAAGAATGTTTAGTTCAATATCTTTGGTCCTTTAAGAGTATTGATTATGAAATATTGTAAAGCCAGGGCACTATTTGCGAACTATTTTTGTGTGTCAATTTCGTTGCTTAAATATATGCCGTTCTTGGGGTCGGCCATGAGTACGCTAGCTTGACGTCATGGTAGCGTACACAGTAAAAATGATCTGTATTTCTTAAATTAAAGAGGCACTATTTTTTTTATTTTTACACTAATTTGGCACTATTTACGCAGTATTTAATGGCATAACGAAAAACCGTATATTGATCGTGGGTACGCTAGCATCACGGACACTTCCTCGTTATGACTTATGAGGAACAGATTGACTAAATAATGCATAACACAACAACATACTACCCAATGGTGATTGACCTAAAGGGCTGGTGCCTACCTGTCCATTAGGTCCATTCATTGATATGTAACCCAAACCTTAACAAAATGTTTGTGGCGGTGTGGCCGCGTTTGTGATATGTACTTATTGCGATTGAAATATAGACTAAAAGCTGACGGCGCCATTAATTTGTCTATGCAAAGTTTTGTCGGATGCATCGTGTACGCTAGTAGAGGTGGTTGTTCCACAGGGGTTTCCTCTATCTGGCATCTTGCTTCAAAATTCATTTAGCATAACACACTTGGAATAATCTTCTACAAATTACTATTTTATGGCATATTTTTTAATATGATTATTGTTTGGCTGAATGTTCATGTCCGAATTCATAATGGAATACTTTTATGATGGCAGAATTTTATTAGGCATAGACACCTTTGGCTAAACTTTAATCTGCATTATTTCGTTAAGTATAATGGTGTCGATTCTAGCATGATTCCCTAAACCTAAACTTAAATTTGACAGCAGTATATCCTTGTCATTCTCTATACAGAATGAAAAAGAGAGACTGATGTTAAATTTAGTTTTAAGTTTAGAGAATCACGCCAGAATTGGTACTAATGTCTATATAAGATATAAAACAAGGAAAAGTTGCATGTAATTTTCTGAGATGTATGCCAAAAGACGATTCGGACTGAAGTTTCTCCAATATGATGGTTCGGTTTTTTAAATATTTGTGGATATTAACTGTATGCCAAGAGAAGATTCTGGCTTACAAAATTATGAGTTTTGAATGTCTGATAAATGAGTAAATGCCAAATGATTTTCTGAAGAAGACGAAATGAAGTTGATGCCATCCGCCGGTATGCGTAATATGACATTGAAAGTTCTGCGATAAAAGGTAGACCCATTCCACCGACCTGCCTAGTCGTTCGTCCTTGCCCGCGCGATCCCAGTCGTAAAGCCTCACCACCGCGCTCTGTGCGCTGCTTTGCAGTACCGACTGTTACAACCCACCGCATTACATACACATCGACCACTCAACACCACATCGTGGTAACAGGTGCAAAGTCACGCGAGTGTATAACATTTATATAATACACACCATATTAGTACCTAATTGCTATACAGTATATTGGTCTGGTATCGATATGATTATCCTCCCATATATCCTAAACAATTAACAGATTAACATTTAAATAAAAAAACAAAACAAAAACGACACACGAGGTATTATTAGCTGTATGGATAAAAATAACAGTTAGACATTAATAATGTAATAATTTTTGTTGCCACAGACTGTACAAGACGTTTAGATGAATTTTTAATTACGCTGTAAACACTAGCTGGCTGAATAATACTTATTGCGGTGCCTTGGTCAACAAAAACTATTTTAAATAAAAACAGAACACGGTTAAAGTGTCGCTATCGTGATATAGCGCCGAAACGGACCTGCCGAGAAAGTCATCGTTCTCAATGCCCATGCCTGGGTCCCAGTCCCACAGCTCGCACTGCAGCATTTGGCACTTCCTTGAGCTTATTATCGCCTTGAGACAAAACGACATGGTGACATTAGATAGATTTTCGGAGAACATTTGATACAGTTTTTGGATTTGGCACGACCGAGACACATGTGAGATGAGTGTGATGTAAGAAACAATACTTGATGTCACAGTCTGCAGCTCATATGCGCACGCGCATGATGAAGCGGCCATGCCGATAGCCCATGTTGCCAAAAGTAAAATTGTTGTTGCAAGTATGAAATTGAAACTTACTCTATGTTACAAACTCTACAAATCCTTACACAAAACCATCGTTATCATTTACTTCAAATCGAATAAGGGAGCCACTTACCTTTTTACTCAAAACCCGTGCATCTAATAGCTATGATTATTTCTCCCACTACCAAAAAATGCGAAGCAAGCGAATATGCGAAAGAAGTGAATATCAAGGACGTTTTTTTAACAATCATAATAATATGTACTAGTATTCACATCTTTTTTGTTAAAGCTTAGGCCACACCAGGAGCGAAACAATTATTACAGAATCCTTTAATTTCGCTCATAATTTGGCATGCGATTAAAGCATTTAAAAAAATATGTATTATTAATAAATAAGTCTGAACAATGTATATAATTCATATTCATTTTAAAATAATGTAAGTAGTTCAATAAATTTACAATTAATACAATGGGACAGTTACGATATGTTGATGATATTCATTAACATTTCATTATTTACATAGTTCCACTTGAATTAAGATTTCATGCTACACAGAGGCGCAATAACAGTGAATCAGAAATGTTAAACGGATATGAACCTAATGTTATATAACAAAGCAGCATTATCACTGTTGTCGCGTTCCTGCCAATGTATTCAGAACTAGAAAGCATAAAGCTCTTCTACCACCGGTGCGCCGCGCCCCAACCGCAGTATAATTCACCATCTGGCCCGCTCATACCTGCTAAGGCTACTTACTCGATAAAACGAGACAAAACGTACTTCAAAAAAATACTCGATCAAAAATGGCTTAATATGGACATCACGAGTTCTCCATCTGCATCGAAGACGAATAAGGAACCCTTTTTTATTATGCCGCCACTTCACTTGGCTATTCGTGTTTATGGCTATTCTGTTTCTGGCTATTTGTAAAGGAGATTGTACAAAAGTGGTAGTCGGTTTCCAGCAGTGATGAATAATATATCATTTGAAAGCACAAAATTAAAATACTAATTATGATTTATTCTTTTTGAAATAATATATCTAATAGTATAATACAATGAACAGAATCATTATCATTGCTTTAACTACTTAATGAAAATAATATATTTGATGCTTTGGCAACAAACAATAATCTATACTTATAATAAATCTGTAGAGATGTCAATTCTGTACATGAAATATATTTTTAAAATAACTATCAGGGGGTGATTAGTGATCGATACTGATGCCAAAAATGCAATCAGTAAATTTTTTGTCTGTCTGTGTGTATGTTCCTAATAGAAACAAAAACTACTCGACGGATTTTAACGAAACTTGGTACAATTATTTTTCATACTCCTGGGCAGGTTATAGTATACTTTTCATCACGCTATAATCAATAGGAGCAAAGTAGTGAAGGGAAATGTTGGGAAAACGGGAGAAGTTACTTCATTTTTTAAGCTTCCGTCGCGTGTGCAGCCTTAATGATTAAAGTTACATAGAAATCATGTATGACGGAAATATTCTACATAAAATTGTCTAAAAAATATCCCGCAACAGCATATGTCTATCTTTTATGGTTGACTAACAGTAACACGTGTAACTCCCGATAGCTTAGCAGTTCGGAGCATTCTTTCTGATCATATTTGTTTACTCTTACGTTTATAATACTCCGACTCATCCCTAATTTAAAAAAGTTAACATTATTACCTATTCAATAAAAACAAAACAGAAATCGGTATAGAAACACCAAACTATACATGAAATATGCCATCGCGCCGTCGCACGTGAATACTGAATCATGCTATAAGGATTATTTTTGTGTAACGGTTGCCGCGCTCGACACGGGTCGCGGCGGCGGTAGGGTATCAAAAGACGGGAGGTCAGAGTGCGAGCTGTCTAAATCTGTTTTCTGCGTTGCCCCCCCCCCTGGGGGCGATCGCTTCCGATGAAGCCTTAGAGGCCTTCTCGGTCAGAGGCAGCCCCTACGGGTGTTTTTTAGTCAGTACGAGTCTGGTATCCATGAGGATTCCTCACCTGCTCCCCTGCCTGGGAGGAAACAAAAAAAATAAAAAAAAGAGAGCGAGCCAGTTTCAATATTTGGCTGTTGATGCGTTCAGAGCGTTCGGTCTTATTGACAGACAATAATTGACAAATATTGAGAAACCATGCTTATCAGCGCGACTTTTAGTCTTTAAATAGTTTATTTGAATTTCTTTTGTTGTTATTTTGTAAAATAGGTATTAGTTGTTTTGGTAGTGTTTAAATATTCGTTCAAATTAAAAATTATTAAGCGTAGGTACTTCTATTAATTAAAGTAGTTATAAGTATTTATTTTTAAGTGAAGTAGGTATAGGTAGATAGTATTGCACAGGCGTTTCAGCTTTATTTTCATTTCTTTTTTATTGTGAGTTGTATATATTTCTGGTTATAATTCTATAAGAATATTTTAGTTTAAATAGTCACTTAGATTTTAAGTGTAAGGTAGCTAAAGTTAGGACCACGTATTAGTTGTTTTGGTAGTGTTTAAATATTCGTTCAAAGTGTAATTTAATCATATGGGATGAATGTAAGATGGCCCATCGAAAAGGAGTAGAAGCGGTAGACAGAACTTTAAGGGATATAAGACAAAATGATCGACCAATGGGCGGTATCACAGTTTTATTTTGTGGTGATTTCCGACAAACCTTACCGGTTATACCACGGGGAACCCGAGCTGATGAGGTTAGGGCTTGCCTGAAAAGCTCTTATTTGTGGCGTGATATACAATCGGTGTATTTGACTATAAACATGCGAGTGAGAACTGTAGATAACCCGGATGATCGTGAATTTTCTGATATATTATTAAAGAAAATACCTTCACCAAAGATACCTATCCACTGCTACACCAAGGAAAACTTATTCTGACGCCTGAGTTATGTTGTATAGTGCAATCCCAACAACATCTTACATCGTCAGTTTACGGTGACGTAACAAATATATTAAATAAGGACAATTCTTGGCTATGCGAAAGGTCCATTTTAACTCCTCGCAATGACCAGGCATCTGAGATTAATAATAAAATACTGTCGAATATCCAGGGGGACAGCAAAGTTAGTTCAATAAATAGAATGACCGATGAACAAGAAACCACTAATTACCCGATAGAATTTTTAAATTCTTTAAATATGCCCGGACTTCCTTCTCATGAAATTTGTTTAAAAATTGGCATTCCGATTATTCTGCTCCGAAATTTAAGACCACCACAAATTTGCAATGGAACTCGGCTTAAAGTAACCCAGTTGCAACAAAATGTAATCGAGAATTTTAACAGGTTGCGGTGCAGGAGAAACCATCTTTATTTCCAGAATTCCCATAATACCAAATAATTTTCCATTCCAATTTAAAAGAACGCAATGCCCAGTTTCGGTGTGTTATGCAATGACAATAAATAAGGCTCAAGGGCAGACTTTTCGTGTTGCTGGAGTAGATATCGGTGTCAGCTGTTTTTCACATGGTCAGTTATGTCGCTCTTTCCCGGGTTAGCAGTCCTAGAAATTTTTATGTTCACGTGCCGGACGGGTCAACTTTCAACGTAGTTTACCCGGAAGCTTTGCGCTGAAGTATTTTCATTCTATATGTACTGAAGCCTCATGTGAAAGCGATCTAAACAATATTACCAATACATTAACATAATAACATACTACTAAAATACGAAAGTTAATCTGTCTGTCACATCAAAACCACGGAACCCTGAGGAAGGACATATGCTACTTTTTTACGAAAATCGACGAAAACGCGGACGAAGTCGCGGGCAAAAGCTAGTAGATAAATAAACTTGCCATTTGAAAATCAAAAATTATGCAATTTAAAATTATTATTATTAAAAAAGGGAACGATTGACAATGAAGTGCACTACATGTAATAAAATGTTGGGAGTTTGCCTGGGACTGACTACCACCCTCCATACAAATTTGAAACGTCTCCTTTGACGTCAATATGTCCTTTTCATTTCTTATAAAGCATGATAAGGACAGACTATTGTCAAGTTTACAAATACCAAATATGAATAGCCAAGTGATGTGCCCGCATTAATCGAAGAATGTTTAGACTGAAAGTAGTTTTCTTCAATATCTTATGAATAGTTTGCCGATTTGTTCGTTTTTTTATGCAACATGGAATTCGTCTCGAATTACAGAGTGCCACGTGCCCCCATATTTACAAACATTTGAATAAGTATGCGAATTCTATTTACTTTGTCACTATGACAAACAAAGTTCAGAACTCGAAACCGTTGCTTTCACGTACTATTTTGCAGCTATCGCGCGCCGCAGAGCATAGCGTATTATCAGGTGCCTTTATTAACACTAGTCCAGTCAATAAAGGCTTAACTTTGCCATTTTGAGTTGATCACCTGCAACCAACGCGAAAATTTCCGCAAGGGTTCGTAGATTAATATACTAAAATTGCAGGGTGCTGCATTGACGGCAAAGGGTGAAAAAAAAATGCGAAATGGTGCAAAAACGAGTTTTTCGTCAATATCTCGCGACTGGCTGCAAAAATAGAAAAAGTTCCTAGTACAAAGTTGTAGAAAATTTAATCTCCTACAAAAAGGTATCAACATATTTTCGCGTATCTCCCATAGTTTTTGCACAAAATGCAATTAAAGGTGCAAAATAAAAAACAGAAAATATATTGTTAATGCTATTTTTTTCCATTTTTAAACGATCCTACGGGTCAAATTCAACAATCACCACTTACTGAAATATTTTAGGATGAGTTTTCGGCAGTCCACTGAAATGAAAATTGTCTACCGAAATGGTAAAAAATGGCCACCGAAATGATACAGCTAAGAACATCGCCTTTG